CAAACTAAAAATGTTAAATCAACACAAAAATTTTTTCAGGTCAAAATATTCTCTCTTTAATCCTTATCTACAACATGGTTCCTGGTAAAATATATAAATTAATTTTAAGTACCTCTCTCTCCATCTTTCCTCATTCCCCACCCACTGCTCTCAAAATTCTCTCGCCCCCCTCTCTCTCTCCCTCTCTCTCCCTCTCTCTCCCTCTCTGCCCCCTCCTTATGGCCTCTGTGATTCTCTCTCTGCCTCCCTGGTGTGTACTTTGGTTGCTTTCACTTCTCTCCTGCTCCTCTACCTCCTCTTTTAATTTCCCTTCAACCAGATTTGGAGGTCATCCCAGACCTGGCTCAAGGCCACTGGGCAGCACTGGTTTTTGTGGCTGTTGAGTGGCCAGCACGGTTACTGCGTCTGTCCACACCCAACTGAGAGGTGGATCTACCTCTCCATCGTTCTCAAATTCTGTGCCTTAGAATCTCTTGGTCCAAGAGCTGGCTCTCTCAAAGGAGCACAGGCCCCTCCCAGCCTGCTAAAGGGTTTTCCGGCTGCCCATTGCAACCGGGGGTCCCAGAGACCCTAGCAGCCTATTACCCACACAGGGGGTGCAGGCCTCTTGTCTTGGGGTCATATTGATGCCCTGTGTAACCCTTTTGAGTTCTGTCTCTATGGTCCAGAGTCTCTCTGTTCTATCCCTGCTTTCTGGAACCCCAGAGAAAGCCAACCCTACAAAGGCACAGGCTTGACCTGAAAAGGCTGGTCCTAAGACCAGGTAGCTGGGAAGGCAGACTCTGGGGCCCTCCATGTTCTCTCTCTCTCTCTCTCTCTCTCTCTCTCTCTCTCTCTCTCTCCTTCCTTCTCCTCTCCTTTACAACCTCTCTAGGCTCCTGCTCTGTCCCCCCATCCTTCTTTTCCTGTACTCTGTCTCCCCTTACCGTCTGGTCGTGTCATATTCGCTGTTGGTTGAGTTTTTCAGTACTGAGTCTGAAAGACACACCGGTGTGCTGAAAAACTCATTTCTTCTACTGGTCACAGGACGCTGTTTCCAGGGAAGAAACACACCCTGCCTGTCCAGGACAGGAATTTGCTCTGTCCCCTCTCTGGTGAACATACCTCCCTGGCGTTTGTAGGACGCTACCTGCAGCAGACTGGGACCACTCCTTGGGCCTCCAGCAGAAGGGGATGCCTTTCTGTATGTTGGTGCCCCATGAACCAGTTTGACGACCAACAGTTTATGTATTCCCTTCTCCTTCTTCCAGCTCTCCTATTCCTTATGTCTATCACCTTTCTGCCTGGCATCCTCGCCAGTCTCCCCAATTCTACTTCTCGGGGCGAGAGAATCCTCATCATCTCCTTCTACCTATTTACTCAGTTTCTCATCTATTTTCTTATTGCTATTTAATCTGTCACTATAGGAACCCCCCAGTCTAAGCCTGAGGCTCTCACTCCCTTGACTTGTCTTCTCAAGTCCCTAAAGCAACCAGGACTTTCAGATATAATTACACCAAAGCACCTAAAATTTTTATGAACCACTGCCTGGCCACAATACAAACTAGACAATAATTCTGTTTGGCCAAAACACAGAAACCCTACATTTCAATATTTTAAGAGATTTAAAAAGTTTATTTAAATCTGAGGAGGGTTATAACACAGTTTTCCTTAAGTGATTATACTAATGGTTATGAACTTCAATTTGATAATGTTTTAATGTACCAATTGCTTTTCTCTACCCAGTGTTTGCATTTCTTCAAAACCCAAAGCAAGTTTTTGGTAAACCATTCTCTAACTACATAAAATAACAAAGGTTATTAATGGTTTTATATTTTCTATAAGGTTTATCTGAAAACTTATAAAGCACAATGTGTAAATAGATAATATTAACTTAATTATATTATCATATGTGTATAATTTAGATTCCATGTTCTTTTATAAGACGATGCTGCACATCACTCCTAAGTCAAATAACTGCCATCTTCATGACTTCAGCTGTGTCTACTTACTAAAAATCATCACAATTGGGCCTGTTGACAGCTATGTTCTTTCATTAAAGGAGGGGTAAGCAGGGTCATTGGACCCTCACCTGAGTATTCAGCCATTCTTCTCAGTCACCTGTACATAATTCTGCCCTAATTACATATTATCTC